AAAATTTTTTTTTTAAGCAGGTGGGGTAAAGAAGTGGATGTAATAAGTGGGGAAACTTTGTTGAAAAGGGGAGCACGGAAAAGTAGCAGTGAAGGGTGAATATACAGTTGTGGATTTTTTAAAATTTTATTTTATTTTTATAAAGGGAGAACAAAAGTAGGTTTGGTGTGTGCGATGAAAATGATCCAGTAGTGAGGAAGCGACTGATGATGCTAGAAGCAGAAATGATACTCCAGGACTGAAGTCCCTGATAAAGAAGGAGAAAGAGCCAGAGCACAGGTCAGGAGACTGGCTTTTGACAAGAGCAGAGATCGCTCTCACTGGGGGGGGGAGACAGAAAACAACAAGTAGATTTGCGGATCCAGCAGCAGGTGGATAAGAAACTCCCCCACTTGCTTGTTTCTACTTTTTCAAGAAAATGGAAAGCAAGGTCATTAGCCAAGGATTGGGAAGAGAGGCTATGGGAGATTCAAAACTCCCTTCTGGATCACAGAAGAAAATCAATTATATCACATGATGCAGAATATCTATCTCCAATCCTACTTTGTGGTACCACTCCAGGGCCTTCCCTGAAGAGTAGAGAGCATGATGAAAATGGCTATGATTATGATTCCCATTTTACAGAGGAGAAAAGCAGGCTTACAGAGGTTTAAGTAAGGCACCCAAGGAGCTGATTAGCAGTGACACTGGGGACTCACCGGGTCTGTATGACCACGGAACCAATTATTCAATGCTCTGGCACACCCAAAGTCCTGAATGAACAGTAGTAAGATTTGGCACAGACAAGATCATCCTCTATGACTTCATTCAGTCAACATTTCCCCAGCCAGAGGTCATCGGGTCATCGTGCCTGAGTGGCCCAGACGCTTCAGGCCACACGGGAAGATCTCGTGAACTGTCAGACGTGTGCGTGCGTATGCATCTGTGTGCACGCGTATGAGACGGAAAGCGGTCCGAGGGAGATACAGATACATATCGGCATTCTTGGGCTCTCGTTCAGAACTATTCTCCGAAGTGCTGAAGAGGTGGTTTGTCTCAGAGCACTAATGCATTTTGGAAAAGAGAAAGAATTTTTAAAGGCAAGCCATCTCTCATCCTCTTTCTTCATTCACGGGGCCAGAAAAGTGGTATTTCTGGCAGGGGCTAGAGGCAGAATACTCTATAAATACAAAGCCATTAAATCCCATGCAGCGGGAACCTGATCGGAGCCTCCTTTTAATTTCCTGACATGAGCTGGCCACTAACCCAATTACCCAGAATCCCCGGAGGAGCCCTCCGCCCTCCCAACAAGCACAAAGAGAGTGAGAGCATATTGCATGGATGTCGGCCCAGCTTTCACTGAAATCAAATATCTTTTAGAAAACACTTGGGGAAAAGGCAGGCAAGGGCTGAGGGGAGGAGGAAGTGGAGCGGGACAGGGAGGCTGCTGGCCCGAGGCAGGTGAAGTGAGGTGAGGAGAAGGTGAAGTTCGCAGGACAGGCCTTCCAGGGAGAGCTGCTGAAAGCCCAGAGCCATGCTGAAGCGTGTGGGCTTCCTGTGAAAGGCAGCAAATGGTTTTCCAGGTTCTTCGGCTCAGAGGCTGGCAGGCCACACCCCAGCCAGGCGGGGAAGCCCAACTATCGGGGGAGAGCCGCTCCGCTGCTGTCCCGAGGGGACCTCTCATCCTGACTTTACACCCCAGACAGGGGGCCAGCCCCAGACGGAGGTCACCCCTGAGATGCCCACCAGCGAATCCAGGAGGAAGATCAGGGTGGCCAGTATGTCTCACCTCACGCGAGACCGCCTTTGAACCAACTACTCTAATAACACGCCCAGAAAGGTGACGGCTTAAAGCAATCCCACGGTGGACTTCACCAAGGAGTCATTCCACGTGGTCCCCCCGCCCCACTTGACCTGCAGGTATCAACACCCCTGCTCCCCAGGTGAAGAGATGGAGGCCCAGGAGTGTGAGCCAGAGAGAGAACGCACACGGCAGGATTCCCTCAGAGCTAGGAGCGAGGGCGCAGGCCCCAACCCTCAACCCAGTGTGCATTTTGTGTCTGATTTCTTATGAAGAGAAAAGTCACTTTTTTTCTCTGAAAAAGCAGACTTTCACACACTGGATTTGCTTAAAGTGAGACAGACCTGGGTACTGCCTACGTGGAACAGTCGATGATGATGATTCCAGAGCCGACGGCGGCCCCAAGGCAGGGGGGAGGCTGAGTCGCAAGAAGTCCCATCACCAGAGTTTCCCCTCTCTCCCCCACCCCCACAGGTGCTGGCCCCCAAATTATGAAGCAGTGTCTAAGGTGTTTTACTTGCGAAAAGAAAAACTGTAAAAGACAGGGGCGCCTAGGTGGCTCAGCGGGTTAAGCATCTGACTTTGGCTCAGGTCACGATATCATGGTCTGTGGGTTCGAGCCCTGTGGCAGGCTCTGTGCTGACAGCCTGCTTTGGATTCCGTCTCCCTTTCTCTCTGGCCCTCCCGCCCCCCCACCGCACACACGCTGTCTAGAGCTGCTGGACAGAAGATAGGAAACAGCTTAAGATGTGCAGGTGAGGTAGGGAGGAGGGGGAGCGGACATTCGCATCCCTTCTCCAGCCTCCTGCCACCCCCACACTTCTGCACAAGACCCGAGACCCGGGACCCTGGCCCCTGGTTCCTCCAAGTGAGGCCCACCCCAGATCCTTCAGGAGGAGCGGCTCCCAGGGGGGCTGCAGCCTGCCTCTCAGAGTCGGGCCAGAGTCTGGGGGAAAGCAGAGGGAGGGCAGGGAGCCTGTGCCCGCCCCAGGGGCCCAGGCTCCTGCTCACGAGGTGGTGGGGGGACAACCAAACAAAAGCAGGAGCCGGGGCAGCTGCCAAGAGCCCCCACCTGGCAGGGGCCCAGGCTCCTCAATGAGGCATGCTCCTCCTCAGGGGGCTGGTCCCCGTGGAGCTTCTGATGGCAGGATCCCGCCAAGGCTCTGCACTGCAGGGGACAGAAACTAAATGGAGGCACTCGGCTTTGTCCGCTCCGGGAGCCTTTGTGTCATCCTGTCCCCTCTGGATTTAGAACTGCCAGCACTGGGGCGGCGTGGCGGAGGGGAGGGTTCTGCGGACGGCCCCTCCTCCCCTCCTCCTCCAGGCAGAGCTCCGGAAAGGGCCTCTCCAGGCTGGGCCCAAGGGGTGTCAGATGCCCCTTGCTGCCACCCTAGAGAGAAACCATGCAGGGGGTTCAAGTGGTGGTCCCTCCCTTTTTCCTCATCTCTCCTTCCCCTTCCCACGCTCTTCAGCTCACAATCCCGGGGTGAGGGTGGGGTGGCCTGGGGTTGGGGCAGACATGGCACAGAGCATGGGGAAACTCCAGGCTCTGGGCCCAGCTCCCCACACATCGGCAGAGCCTGAGGGTGGGAAAGACCTTGAGCCCCAAGCCCTACAGGACTCCATTCTGTCATCGTTAAAATTCAGGAGCATACTAATAGCACGGCAGCTCCCCTCTGCTCCAAGTTCCCCAGATGCTGTGAAGTAAGCAATGAGAGTCCACAAACTACAACCAGAAAAGGCCAATGCACAGCTGGCCCCCGGCCTGACCCAGTGCCCTCATGCCCAACTTCCAGAACAAGGCGGTAGCCCCCGTCCCCAGGATTTATGAGCTAGCTTCTCTAAGACTTAGAAACCCTTAGGCTGGCTTCCAGCAGCCCTCGGAGGAGGAAGTCTAGAGGCCAGCACTGAAGCATACTGCTGAGGACCCCTGTGCCTCAGTTTCCTCATCTGTGAACCCCAGGATGCTCTGGAGGAGCAGAAAGAGCCTGGTGTAGCAATCAAGGGACCCTGGTCAGTCACTAACTCGGGTCACACCCTACACAAGGGTATGACTCAAATTGTGTAGAATCAAAATGAACTCACAATCTTTCAGGAGGTCTAACACAGCCCACTTTTAGTCTAGAAAGAAGACTGTTCTTACTTGACCACCCCTCCCCCCCAACGAAGCAGCTGGCATGTTTCTAAATAACTGAGTGGCTTCACCATCTCAAAGGTGTTAAATGAAGAGGCTAACGAGAAATGTGGTTTAAAGGGCAACATGCTATGTAGACATCGGGGTAGCTGAGGAACTGCTTCAGGAGCATGTTTAGAGGTGGGCACGCTGGGCCAGCTGGGGTGGTGCACGCGACGGAGACCAGAAGTCTCTTATTTCCCCAACACGGCAAGGTCCAAGTTGTCCTACTGACAAAGCATCAATTAAATTAGCGCCTTCTTCCCCAGGGATGCAGGGAAAGGAGGATGAGAGGAGCGCTGGGCTTCCAGAAGCCCCCTCTCAGGGAGGGACTACATTCGAGACCAGCCCATTCCTTTTCACTCCCAGCCCCTCCCCCATCACACAATCTTCAACACGCACCTCTTTTCCTGCCTCCTCCCCCTTCTGGAAAGGTTCCAGGGCCCAGAACCATAAAAGCGGATGTGTAAGAACTTCCACCAGCTCCCTCGAAAGTTGCAGAAGAGGAGAAACACACACACACACACACACACACACACACACACACGCACGCACACACACACACACAGACGCACACACATCCCCCAAGATGGACCTGGGCAAGGGTCATCAATCTGAGCAGATCAAGAAGGAAGGGGATGAAGGGGAGCCCAGAGAAGTGTTGCCCAAATAATGAGAAGCCTACCCCTCCCAGGGTGGACCAGGGGCCTCGCCCCAAAAGGAGGGCCTTCCCCAGAGGGCCAAGCCAGCTTTCTAGGGCCCAAGTGGGGTCGGGATTTTCCAGAGAATCCTTAATGCGGAACTTCCGATGCCTGCCCCGTGCCCCCCTCAGCAGTGGAGCTGTGAGGCGGCCGTAAACCCGCGTGCAGGGTGCGTGTGAGAGAGGAAAGGGGGGCGCCCCAGGGAGCAGGGGCCCCACCTGGGATGCGTGCAGAGACTTTCCGGTCTGTGCCGCCCAGGGGGCAGGGACACAGGGGTCCGGGACGCCCAGTGAGAAGGGACCCTGGGCCTCGGTCGGAGCACAGCGTGGCCGTGCAGGCCTCTTACCTTCCTTCAGCATCCCCACTTTGAGGCATTTCATGAAGCGGCAGGCCTGGCAGGACTTGCGCCTCCGTTTCGTGATCTCACACTCATTGGTGGCCGGGCAGCTGTACTCGATGTTTCCTGTAACCAGACACAGACAGGCTTGCCACGTGCCCTCCCGGAGCCCCGCCCACCAGCCAAAGGCCGGATGGAGATGGACTGGCGGGACCTACGACTGCCCCTTATCCCGAGGTTTCCGTAGGGCAGTGGCTCCCACGGTGGGTGCTCGGAGGTCCCTGCCACGATGTTCCCGACCCTCTTAAATGCTTAGATCCCAGACCCGGAGGGCGGGGTGGGCCAGGCAGCCACAGCTTTGAAGAAGGGGAGCCCACAACTTTGAAGGCCCCACTGAGCTGGCATTTTACCCCAGGCACAGAACACCTCCTTGCACTGACCAGAATGTCAGTGCAGGCCACCGGCCCCTATGCCCTCCAGCCGGGGGTCCCAAAGCACGGGCAAAGCCTCCTGGAAGCTCTGCCCGCCCCGGGCCCAGGGCCTGTGTTCCGTGTCCCTCTCTGCACACCCGGGCCACCGCTTGCTGACCTTGAGAGAAATCACTTTCCTCTGAGTCTCAGTCTCCTCGTCTGCAAAGCGGTGTGTAGGATCTCCCACGTGAAAGCAGGAGCAAGGGCATTAAAAACGCTAAAGCACTAGGGCGCCTGGCTGGCTCAGCTGCCAGAGCACGGGACCCCTGATCTCAGGGTGGTTGGGTTCAAGCCCCTTGTTGGGCACAGAGCTTACTTAAAAAAAAAAAAAAAAGTAAAGCACTACTCAACGTAGCCGATTACATAACCACAGCCCTACTACAGAGGGAACTGGTGACCGTTTTCTGGTCTCGCCCCTTGAATGCATTCTAATAATGGCTACCATGAACCTGACCCACGCTCCCAGGAGGCTGTCAGCCCCTCGAAGGCAAACGCTTGTGCTGTTCACCACTCAGTCTCCCAGATACACCAAGATCAGCCCCTGCCATGCAGAAGCCATGCAAGAAAAACTTGTGGAATGAGTCACCGACAGAATCCTCATGGCAATCACGCGAGGTCGGTATTGACACTGCCCCCATGTTACAGGAAAGGCTGTGGCTGCCTTTCTAACACAGGGCATAGCGTCTCTCCCACGTCCTCTTACCTGCCTATAATTACTTAACATACGTTAAGTAATTATAGCATTGTGTAGCTATAAATGTGAAGAGAAAGGCAATGGGAAGGAAAGGGAGGTCCAGTGGAGTAGAGGAGAGAAAGGCAATTGGAAGGTAAAATGCAACAGTGACCCAGTGCTGTTCTGTTTTTATCTGGTCTTCTCAGCCCCTGTCCCAACTCTGGGAGGCCTGCCAGAGCCTGTGGTTTTCAGAGAACAGACTCTGGACTAGTGCAAATTCCCCTTGCCCACCCCCATCAGATGCCCACCTGAGGGAGCAGGGAGAAGGCTGCCCTCCTAACCCTCTCGTCAGGCCCAGGGACACTCCTCCAAAGCAGGGGTGCTTGTGGGCCCACCTCGCCTGGCAAGGACACTGCCCGGCATGGAGCACCCTCTGAAAGGTCACTCCTGGCCCGAGACAGAGCTTGAAAGGTTAGTTCCAGACCTGCCTGGCCTCCGAATCCCCCCTCTCTCCCCAGCCCCATCCACATTAGCAGTTCCAACAGCTGCCTTTACTGCGCACCTGCTCCCGTGCATGATCCACACGGGTGGTCACTCCTCACAAGGCCCCTCGGAGGTGGGCCCACCAGTGCCCCATTTCACAGGCCCAGCAACGAGACTAGGGGGTGCTGAAATGAGTTACTGAAGGCCACACAGAGCCCCTGTGCCACCTCTGCACTCCACAAGAAGCTTGGGGAAACCAGACAGGCCCCTCCCTGTTGCCACCCCAGCAGCTGAGGTGGTCTGGAGGAAGTCGGGAGGGTGCTGTCTTCCAGAATCCCTGTGCCTCAGCCTTCCCCTGTGGCCTATGGAAAATACTGACCGTTGGATTTTCTGAGAGCCAGCAGGAACCAAGCTGTGCCCCTGACAAAGGGCTCTGAGGTCATAAAATTGTAGCGCCCCCGATTACAAGGTGAGGGCTCACAAGAGCTTGCTGAGTATTCTCAGCCTCATTTAGTACTGGGGAGGAGACATGACTTGCCTGGGGCACCTTAGATCTCCATCTCTCTACGCACCTCTCTCTGAATTCCAGCCGCCATCACCTTATCACCTTTCTCCCTCCCATTTCTTGCAGGGCGGGGAGGAGGGTCTAAAAGTCCCCCTCGGTGCAGCAGGGTGGGAGAGGGCAGGAAGGGGAAGGGATAAGGATCCTGTGAGCCCCTCCCCTCTTATCCAGCCCTAACCATTTCTTAGGTCACTCTGGCTTGTGTGGCTTCTTGGCAAATAATTTCAGTATTTCCAGAAGCACAGTAATAAACAGGAGAAAAACACAAATATGAATTAATTCATCCAAGTCCATCTTGGCTTAGGAGGCTCTGTAGAGTTTGGTCCCTGCCACCATCCCACTCCCACCCCTCTCTCTCCAGCCTCAATATCCCTCCCCCTGCCCCCACTGTCCTGCATAATCATCAGTTCCTGGAACTCAGTGATAACACAGGCTTCCCGGCCTTTGTTCCAGCTGCTTAGAACAACCCCAGTAAGCTCCCTCCACCACCTCACCTGGCCCGTCTACACCTCCAGGTCCCACGGATACAGGTGCTACTCCTCACCGTCACCTGACTCCTACACCAGCTCCTCTGGAGTCCAGGCGCTCGGCACACACAGGAGGCACTCGGTACACGCCGAGAGCCAACACTAACAGGTGCTTCCCATGAAGCAGCTATTGGTGTGCTTTTCACATACTGCACCTTTAATTTTCCCAACAACTCTGGGAGGTAAACATCTTTTCCTCCACCTTATAGATGAGAGCAGAGTCCAGGATGAGTCAGAGCAAGGACTTGAACCCAGATGGTCTGGCTCCAGTCTTGCTCGGAACCACTGTGCAGTGAGCTCACAGGGCCCGTGGCGGCCCTGCGTTCACCTGGCAAGGCAACTCACGCAGCCTCGGGACGCCACTTGCATGCTGCTAGCCGTTCACCTTCACTGGTCTCGGCTGCACAGCCAACCTGTCATCCCTTGAAGGAGGACCGATCCCGGGTTTGGAGGGGCTGTCGCTCCAGCGGGGGGTCAAGAAATGCCTGCGATTTGGCACTGGTGCTCTCCCAGGACAAGAGGGTTGAGCATTAACAACAAGGATAGAACGGTGTTCCTGACCCTGCGCGTGCGTGTGCGCGTGCAAGAGAGAGAGTTCTGATTTTATTTATTTATTTTTGTTCCTTTCAATTTGTTTTATGGCCCTAGCGGCTGGCCGCCAGAAAGCCAGGCTGCTGGCCTTAACTTGTAATTTCTGTAAGTGCCTCCTCGATAAAGTGATGAGATTAATTCATCAGAATTTCGGTGGTCTCTGGAGGGCAGTCTAGGAGAGCTCAGGAGCAGGGAGGGGCATCTGTGGAACACACACACACACACACACACACACACACACACTCACCACCAGCTGAAGCATGGCAGGTTTGGAGGTGGGCCCTCATAGGACAAGGACCTAGCCAATGACTAGCATCAACTCAGAGTTCTAACACAGGAGTGTGCCCAGGACAGGCACAGGCAGACACTACTTCAGGTCACCTAACCTCTCTGGGCCCACTTCCTCATCTGTAAAATGGGCATATGGCACATGCCCGTCTTACAAAGTTGTGTGATACAGGGACAGAAAGCACGCACAGGGCTCAGCAGAGTCAATGTGTGGGCAAGCAAGGACTCAAGGCTGTGGTGCTTATTTTTACACGCAGGCAGTGCTGCCAGGGTAAATTCAGCAGAAGACTCCGGGTAAGTCTTTGACGTGAGGCCAGCCACCCATTCTGACATTTAAGAACACTAAGACTGGCGACCTCCGAGTTGGTGCGTCCGCACTTGTGGTAGGGAAGGGAGGAAGGAATGCTCAGAGCCTGACCTGGACTTCTGCGTGACCTCTGGCCTCGAGGCAGAGGGGAAATCCCCACCATCAGCTCCTTTGATCCTGTGCCCCAGGAAGGAAACCCCAAGGGCGTCACCATCAGCTGTCTCTGAACAGCTGCAGGGAGTGGGCAGTCCTCTCCCGTGGCTCAGGGGCTCAGGGGCTCAGGGCTGGGGCCTCAGAGCTTAGACAGGGGGCTCCTGGGGGACGCATGTCTCAGAGGCCGCTGGCTAACATCGGAGCCCGAATGGCCGCCATTTTAGGTCACTGCCGTGGAAGGGCTGGGCCAGTAGTCACTTGGCTCCACTTCCCTATCTATCTCACTTCTGGGGGACACAGGCCATCTCCTTCTGTGGGGCCCACTGTCCTCAACTGTCCACCCTTCCCTCTTCCTTACCTCCTAGCTCCATGATCTCATTCGTGCCACTGGCCTGGGCTATCACGTACTTGGTAAGGATGAGCAGCAAGAGGCAGGGCCTGTGCTCACACCCTTTCTTCCATCTGCCTGCTGGGTATTTCCACCTGCAAGTCCCTACGGTTCCTCACACCTCCTCAGCTGAACCCATCCTTACCCAGCCGACTCCTCTCATTGTGCTCCTTGTCTCAGCAAAACGATCACTAAACCGCCCCTACCCCCATCCCCACCTAGATCAGAAACTGAGGCGCATCCTGGATTCTTCCCTCTCCTTTATTCCTTTAAGGTCCTTCTCATCCTACTTCATTCACATTTTGTCCCTCCTTCCCCTATGGCCACAGCTCATCAGTGCCCACACTCACCTCCAGGCACTAGCCTCCTCTGTCTCTAGTTCCCTTTCCAGTCTGACCCCCACACTGCCCCTGGAGGGACGTTAATAATCTTTCTGTGCAAAACTCCACCATGGCACACCCCCTGTCTGCACACACATCCCACAGCCCGATAAATGGCAGCATGGGGCGGGAACTGCCACAGGAGAATGGACAAAGTAAAACCCAGAATAGCCAAAGATGACAAGCCATCGCTTCTCCGCCTTTGGGCTAAGATCAAGTGTAGTATCTAGATGACAAGCCATTTGTACTGCAGAGCCTCAGAAAGCCTCAGGCACCGAAGGCTCGAGATACGGCAGAAGATGTG